GTGTGTGTGTGTGTGTGTTTCAGTGTCAGAGTGAATACCAGAAGAGCTACAGGGTTTCCCGTTCCAGGAGCGTGTCTCCTCAGCGCTGCGCCCCATTGGCCGGCCTCCGCTCCGACCAAATGAGTAAGAACATTTTTCAAACATCTTTATCCTGAAATATTTGGATTCTTCCAGTTTCACGTCAAAATGTCTGAGTTTGAAAAACTACAGTTTGTCTCTTTGACGTTTGTGTCTCAGGAATCTGCAGAGAACCAGGTCTGCAGCGCCGGAAGAGACTTGTTCCTGGAGGTCTCGCTCAGTCCTGCACTTCACTGCTCTGTCCGTCAGACCCACAGCGCCCCCTAGCTGCTCCGACTGCTCTCACTCACAATAAAGTGCCCTCTGATGGTAGACAGTGTAGATTTGCATGTCAGCATGTTAGAGTATGAGTTAACGAAGTGTTTCATAAATTGATTTCTTCTTCAGCCTCTCGGAGTCGCTCAGCCCACAGGAAGGATCCTTCCCCCAAACCTCCAACGCCTCCAGAATCTCGAGCAGAACCCAAATCCCCGGCTCAACCGGAATCTCCAGCAGGACCACGACCTCCAGAAAGATGTTCTGCAAACTCCGGATCACCAGGAGAACCAGGAGTGACTGGAAAATCAAGTAAATATGGATCACACACATTCCACAGTGTAAATAAGTGGATGGATTTTTTTGTTTTTCAGCTTCTGAGCTTCACAAACATTTAACGTGAAATAAACGGATGTAAAGTCTCAGCTTTGATTCAAGCAGGTTAAAGATTAGATTCTGAGCCTGATGTAAACACATCTGTCCTGATAATCTGGATTTAAACGCAGCTTCACTTTCTTCTTACTCCGTTCTGTTTTCACTCACTTCATTTTAAAGATTATGATTTGAAATATTCTGTCTCCTCAGGAAAGCTCCACCCCTCACAGCTCAACAACCAATCACAGCCCAGCCGCCCCTCGTCAGCAGCACCTGATGGACGGCAGCCCTCAGCCAATGAGGTGAGCTGCGTGAACCTGTTTCTATTTTTCTGTTGAAAACATGGAAATGGAAATAATTCGGATTAACTGGATCGGGTTGCAGGTTGATCATGCTCTGCGCTGGAGGGCGGGGCTGACGTCAGCAGGTCAAAGGTCAGGGGGTCACCGGTCCGAATACCACCGACAGTTCAGCTGGAAGAAACCTGTAACTTCTGCTTCACCCATGCTGACGGCTGAACAGGTACAGTACTCACTAATACTCATTAATACTCACTAATTCACCAAATACTACAAGAACGTCACGTGATTATTACAGAATAATCAACAATGAAAATAAGTGTGGTGTTTAAAGACTTGCAGTTCACGATAGTGTCCACTAGGTGGAGGTAGACTCTTTATTTTCAGATTGAACTGAACGTGTCTGTCTGTTGACGCAGAGATTTTTATTGATGAGTCGTTCAGTCGTCAGAGTTTTATTGATTGATTCGTTTCCCCCCGCCCCCCCACAGGTGCTGTATTCCAGCAGCAGGTCTGTCCCCCCCTTTAAGAAACACCCCGTCTCCATGGAAACCGAGTATCAGCAGAGCTTCAAGGGTGTGGCCCCTCCCACTGGACCCCACCTTCTGAAACATCTGGAACATCAGCGAATCCCACTGTTCCACACGTACATGGTACACACACACACACACACACACACACACACACACACACACACACTCAGTTGTGTCTACGTTACTTCAGAGGACATTACATTGAGTTAAATTGATTTCCTGGAAAGAGACTCTTACTCTTAACAACAATTACTACTTATCTTATCTTATCTTATCTTATCTTATCTTATCTTATCTTATCCTAAACCTTAACACAAAACATCAACCTAAAACTAACTTTAGCCTAAACCTTCAAACATGACTTCACATTAATATTTTCTGATTTATGTTATAGGGACTTGATTTCATGACACACACACACACACACACACAGTATTTGTGGTGATGTAGCTTTGCTGACTAACATTTTGTTTCAGGATGTGTGAGTTTGTGTTTGACCTCATTTCTCCTGAATGATTCTGTTCATATCAACAATGCGACTGAGACGCTTCTTTGAATCTTCCAGCTGCAGCGCTGGCTTCAGGTTCTGTGGACTGAGTTTTGAAACCTCAGTGTTCAGCACCGGTTCTTCAGACAGGTCTTCTTAAACCCACCGCCGCTCTTATGGTCACAGGTTCATGTGGAAAAGACGTCAGCGTCAGTTTGAAACTAGCGGAGACTGTTTAAAGATGGACGACGTGTTAGCTTCCAAACCTGAGGCCAAATGTCGGATGTGGTTGATTAAACATGTTTTCTTCCGTATTCATCTCCAGAGCAACAAGAAGAGGAGGGAGGAGTCTCAGAAGAAGCCCCGCCCCAAACACAATGATCCCGCCTCTCAGGAGGATGACATCACAACTCCTCCTCCTCAGGTGCAGAGAGGTCACAGGTGTGTTGTTGTTCGTGTGTGACTGTTGAAGCCTCTCGTGTTCATGTATCGTCCGTGTGTCGCAGAACCGTGACACAGTTTGAATCCAGCTTTCGTTCTGCCCTCTGCAGGATCCTAGAAGAAGGCGGGGCCATGGACGGTGACACCCCTCAGGTCAGGTTCATTTGGGGGCGGGGTCGTGTGACGAACCCGATGTTGACGGGTAAAATCCTGAGACATTAATTATTTTTCTCGTCACACACAGAAACCTTTCACACCGAGTCCCATGTGTCTTTTTATTCTATTCGTTCTGAGAATCGTTTGTAGGAGATGAAATGTGCAGCGAGGAGGATTTTGTTTCCTCTCGAAGAAAACGTCGGGTCCATCCAAACCTGAGAAGTCGCCTGGAAGAAGGAGAATTTCATCTTCTGCCAAATGATCCGATCACTTCTACGTCTATTTCAGGACGTCAGTGGTCAAGTTTGATTTACTACCACACATTAAAAAGATAAACTCATTTCTGGGATCTAACTGATCCAGAACATCTCCAACAACAAAAACAAACCTGATCCACAAAACTATGTAACGAACAAAAGTATCTGACTCATCTTTCCAGTATCCAGATAATAAAAATGAACAAGGATCAGATGTGACAGGCAGATTTTTATATATATTTAAAAAGATGCTTGTGAGAAACAAAACTCACAAGTTGATATAAGAAGCTTCTGAATTTTCTGTTCCTACTTGTTAAAGTCTTCACATCTCAGGCAGGAACTCGTTTCACATTCCCATAATTACGTGGAAGTGAAGGTTGTAGCTGAGTTAACGTGGCTCCGCTCAGCGCTGACATAATGTTTTGCAAACGGGTGAGATTTTGTTTTTTACGGCGCTACAGAACGTGTCCGCGTCGAACGATGTGTCGCCGCTTTCACTCTAGAAAGATCCGACTCGTTATTCGTTTATTTTCTCCAGCAACGATGTGAAGTGTTTCTTCTTCTGATATTCAATCATTTACACACTTAACACAAACACTTTTAATTATCTAGGTCGTATTTTTCATTGTGTGTGTGTGTGTGTGTGTGTGTGTGTGCGTGTTTGTGTGTGTGTTTGTGTGTGTGTGTGTGTATATGTGAGAGTGACTGATGTGTTTCCCTGAAATGAAGCTCTTGTGGTTTCACCGCTGACACTCAGCACTTGGGTTTTCCATCAGCCACACACACATGCACACACACACACACACACACACACACACACACACACACACACACACACACACACGTCTTGTGGAAAGTGTCGTTGCAGAGACTTTTTGACTTGTCTGACTCCAGATAAGCTGAAAACATCGAACAACCTGCTAATGTTCACAAATCTCTGCATGTTTCAAACGAATTATTTTATCCCTCATGAGGCCAGAAGTATGTGGACAGCTCCCACACCAGATCCCAAATATGAAGACTCAGTTATCTTTGTCATAAGGGTTCATAACGACGTCTTAGGAATCATTGACACATTTATTTTTTTAATACCATTTGTGTATCTGTGAATATATCTGACAGTTTTTAATAATTCTTTATCCACATCGATCAAACTCTGTTTTTCTCCGTTTTATTGCAAAGAACTCGACTCATCCTTCGGCCTGAAATTACATTTTTTTGTTTATTTCATATTTCAGTTTAACAGACATCATTTCCCATCAGCTCCAGACGTTCACATGCTCAACGTGACGTCAGGACTCGCTCTTGATTTATTAATTTTAAGTTGCAACATCGTTTAAACCACGTGTCAACATTTTCATGAGCTTTTATCTGTCACTGATGAAGTTTGTACATTTAGTTGAACGACGCTGCAGCTTTTTTGACTCATGCCAACATAGAAATTAAACAACTACGTGAAACTCAGAAATCGATGAGTCCGTGCGATGAGAAGTCGCCTGATTAATTTTCCGTCCTGTGGTTGTCAGCTGACGTAGGGAGCTGCCTGTTCAGAGGAAACATGAGTGTCGTTGAGAGCAGAGATGTGCAGCGCCAGGTTTACAGCTTGTGTTGAGGTTTTAGACTCAGGCTGAGGTTTGCTTTGAAGACGGGGTCTGGGGCTCCCCACGATCTGGACGAGGGTCAGGGTTAGTGTTACTGTTTACCAGAAGTGACAGGAAGAGGCGTCGACATCAAGGTGACACAGAAAGAGATGGATTATTAATTTAACTATTCAATATTAGAACTACACAAACCATTTTATAATTTCTGGTGGAAGTTTCCATTCTGCATATTTTACATTTCTTATGATCGACATTTTATTTATGGACTGTAAATAAAGATGCTGCATCTCCACTGTCTAGAATTGAAGCCAAAATATCTCAGATACAACGAAACCAAACGTGTTGGTGAATGTGGAGTAATACGTTCTGCAGCTTTACTTTATTTATTTCTCATTTTAAGTAACTCTGTGGTTTTGTTGTGGTTTTTGTCGTTTCATTAACTTTGTGACAAGTAATTTTCACGTTCATTTAAAAAAGAGGCTCCAGTTAGAAGAGCCCTGTCTGAGCCCTGTCTGAGTCCCGTCCGAGGGCCCCTGGGTCTTGGCCCTGTCGGCCCTGTTCACTAATCCATCCACCTCCTCCGCCCAAACTGACAGTTTTTGTATGTATATAACCAGAATATATAAAGTTACATTTAAGAATATAAACTAGATGTTTTCACATGAAATGTGAACATTAATCTTTTCTGTCTTGTTTATTCCGTAAAATAAAAGTTGTCATATCATCAAACACAAAGTCTGAAGTGTTGTGTAACGTCTGTTTCTGTCCAGGTGACGGAGCTGCGGCGGCGAGCGTCGCTGTACCGCCGTCGAGCCTGGGGAACCAACTTCTGCAGAGATCACCTGAACCAGCTGCAGTCCGAACACAACGCTCTGTGGGAGCCCACGGACTCGTCCACCGACCCCCCCACCCCCTGCCTGACCCTTGACTTCGGCCAGGAGCCCGACAGCCGCAGCACTTCCTGTGTGGAGGCTCTGGACCTGGCCAGGTACGAAACTTCTCCGGGAGAAAGTAAAAACGTCTCACGATCAAGAAATTGATTATCAATTAAACTGAAGTAATCAATGGATAAAACATCTTGTGTCTGGTTTGCAGTCGCTCCTGTCACTCCAGCCAGAGGTCGTCTGTCGTGGGCTCAGCAGAAACACACAACACAAACAAAAACACAAAGACAAACGCACAAACACCTCCGGCTGAAAGACGCACGGCGTGGGAAGAAGAAGAGGAAAAAGAAGAAAGTGTAGACGAGTAAGTTTTTCACCTCAGGTTGTGCTCGACATCAGGTCGTCTGGTTATTTTTGATTTGGTATTTTATGTCTGTGTGTTCAGGGACGAGGGGAGGTTACCGACTCCCAGACTGAAGATGAGACCAGTTCAGAGAACTCACCACGACCTCACCACACCTGCCACAGGTACACACACACACACACACACACACACACACACACACACCCACCACAGACCACTGATCGATCTCTGTGTGTCCTACAGGAGGCGCTATACTAGTGGGAACAGTGAAGAGCAGTGAGGAATCGTCTCTAAACAAACAACAGGTACAAAAAAAAAAACAGTGTGTAAAACACACGTAAATAATAACGTCATTATTTTATAATCATTTAAAACAGATATTAAAAACTACAGTTCCCATGATTCCTTTAGAGTTTGAGAGAAAAACAAACAAAGGTCCTGGATGTTTTTGAAAATAGATGAAAGTGCTTGAATGTAAATGTTTGTAAACATAAATCAAAGGTTTGATGTTTTAATGAAAGTAAACAGTCGGGGGTTCCTGACCATGTTGAGTCGAGTGGATCATGTGACACTTCACCTGTTAACGATTATTTCAGAGATGTGGGTCAGTGGTTTCCATGGCAGCAGCTCTCGACATGCCATCGGAGAAGAGCAGCCCCCACCGCCCGTCACTTGGCCCCTCCCCTGACCACAAACCAGCCTCTAAACCAATCAGGATGAAGCAAACACCTCCACCGACGGTAGCACCGCCCCTTCAGCTCCGGCCCGCGCTGCACTGCATCCAGGGAACGTTGAGACGCCCCGAATTCCAACATAACGGTGAGCGGACGCACGGACGGATGAACGAACGACAGAATGAACAAACTAACGAATGAGTCAACGTGTGAACTCACCAACATCCTGACAGGAAACATCAGAGACTAGAGAAAGCACTCGGAGCATCGGCCTCACGGTGCCGAGCGAAGGTTTGAAAGAGTTTGTGACGTGTGACTGCAGCAACCAGAAGATCAAACTGCTTCTCTGCCTGTTGTGTCCTCAGGTGAGCTGGGGTCCAGGTTCGTGTCCTCAGGTGAGCTGGGGTCCAGGTTCACGGAGCTGCAGACTTCAGGAGGCGATGAAGGTGAACGTCTGAAACATGTTGAACCAGCTGCTGATTAAAGTGACTGAATATTATATTTATATTACTGAGCGTCTGTGACTCGGGTTCATCTCCTCAGAGAGTGAAGCTGAGCTGAGATCAGTTATTAACAACCAGAGTTTATCTCCAATGTTCAGCAGCAAACTTTAAAACATGAAAACTCTGAACAGCTGGTTACAGCAGCAGCTCAGGAAGCAGAGGATCATGGGTAATATCAAGCTTTCAGTTGTGATTCAGTTCAGTGGGAGGAGTCTGTCAGAGCCCAGCAGAGTTAATCAGCACGTGTGGCTGCAGGGGGCGCTGTTGCTCAGTAACATCCTGTTGTCACTAACACTTTTTTAACTCTCTCATCCTGTTGCCCAGACGACCGTCTCTCAGTGATGTCATGCCGTTCGGCAGCCTCGTGCTCCGCGGCGTCCGTCGTCCTCGAGCGCGCTCAGAAGAGACGAGAGAGCTTCTGGGGGAAGAGATGAACCCCCCCACCCCCACCCCCCCTCACCAGGTCTCTGCTGTCACCATGGAAACCAGCGTGTTGTTCGTAGAGCTGAGTGGATTTTTTTTATAGACGTCACCAGAATATTTTCTAGAATCAAGTATTTTTATAGTTGAATTCATTAAATTATGAAAGTTATTTTTTGTAGTTGATGTTTTGATGAATGTAACCATCGTGTGTAGTTTGTGTTTGTGTTCTTTGCTGAGATAAAAGAGACTCGAGCGTCCTCTCGTCTTTGACTCGTCGTCGTTACAGACGTCGTGAAAATCGTCTCAGAGTCGAAGTCGTAAAATCACGACGATGTGAAAGAAGCTGAAACGTAAACTCGTTGGTTTGTATTTATATAAAATATCACGTTTTATCACATATTAGTCTTCGTTCTGTGAGGTCACACAAACCTTGACCTCCGACCATCATGATCCTCCAGTGGAATAAGTGACGCAATTAAAAGACAATACAGATGGGATTCTTCAGAACACACACACACACACACTCACTCACTCACTCAGCTTTACATTGTTTGTTCTGGTATATTGTTTCGAGGGGAATTCACAGTCGGCTGCTTTATCAGCTCATCATCCCTGACTGAGTGTGTACATGTTGTGTGTTTAACGTGTTTGTATAGTTGGCCCAGTGGAAGTTACCAGGTCGTGTCATCTCTGTCTGGAGGGAATATTTAAAGGTGTGTGTGTGTTTCAGGAATGTTTCTATTAATTCCCGTGTCGTCTTTTAATCGCATCACTTGCTTCACATATTGTTTTGTGCGTCTCTGCTTTAACGCCAACGTCCTGCGTCAGAGTTGTTTTTTTAATTTGCATCACTGTGACCTTGGTGCTCCACCGTCCGACCTCCCTCACCGTGACGTGCAGCTGGTTGCAGCAGGTCGTGAGTCGCGGCTCCTCGACCGATGCGGAAATGATGAAATTCCTGATTTGACGAGTTTATGGAACCAAAACATTTTCAGTTTGAGTTGATCCTGAGACACACACTCGATCCAGGTTCCATCTTCTTCGTCTCTCTGCAGATTGATTTGATTGTTTATAAAAACCTCCCTGATATTTACAACAACAGGTTTCTAATGTCACGTCTTATGTATTTCACTTTATTATAAGTGTTGTTGTATTTGTTGCTTAATAAATCTGTTGTTCAAACATCAGAGCGACTGGCTTTTCTCTGAGGGAAGTTTATTTAACGACACACACACACACACACACAAAGAGGAAGTGATGTCATTGGAGAACAATTAAAATGCTGTTTTTGCATTGACGACAAACCTTATTAGACGATGTCACAGTTTGACTGACAGTTAATTTCCTTTTTGTGCAAGTGACAGTAAACAGATTGTACCAGCTCAGCACTGACCTGTGTGTGTGTGTGTGTGTGTGTGTGTGTGTGTGTGTGTGTGTGTGTGTGTGTGTGTGTGTGTGTGTGTGTGTGTGTGTGTGTGTGTGT